CTGTTAGCTCTATACAAGAGAGGAAGGGCGATTCTTTTTTAATTTCGGTTTCGCTGACACAGCTTTCGCAGAAATCTCGCTGTAGTCGTTTTCGTCGACAAAAGGAATAGCAAAATCGCTCTCCGCGTCTTCCCCCATTTTGTTCTGCGTCATTTCGTGAAGGACGCGTGGCTCTCAGCGTGGGTCATCCACGCGGAACACATTCGCGCTATGTGATTGGCTGTTGTTTAATCCCCCTCGAGATCTGTGGTGTTAAAAATAACTCGAGACGAATTACCTATGGAATAGGGTGTATATGGGGGATGGCCTCTCTGTCCCCTTTATAGTGGTTTTTATGAAATTGCCTCAGTAAACTGAAGAACATTGTGTCAAAGCTTTTCCACTATTGCATCCAAACGCAGCGTAAAAATTTGATTTGGCAAGTCATCGTTTCTCCAATCGTCTCATCAGGATCTCGCTTTCCAGGCCAAAGGATATGATGTAGGACTTGTTTCTCGACCTGTGCTCGATAAGACAATCAACTGCTGGATTTTTCCGGTATCCCACTAATGCGACAACCTCGTTACCATGGTTCTCTCCTACTCGTCCCTCCGAGCGAGAAGAGCCTGGGAAAAAGGGTGGTGACGAGGCTGCGTGTCTGGAAAAAAACGACACATTCTTTGCACGGCAAAACAATCGAATTCTAAGCTATATAAGAGGTTTGCTTAAAGGAAACGCGTTTCGGGAAATTTTGGTAAGGGTAACTAGTTGATGCCTTGGCTGAGTAAATATTGAGTCGAGTTGCGCTGGCCTTCCCCTGCCTCTACCGAAAAAACATCCCGCCTTGGTTTACAGCGAAAAAAGGGTATTCAGCCTCTTATCATTTCTATCAGTTGAGATCCTTACAGATTACAAGCTACTCCTTGATTGTTTTTGTTGTTTATAATTTCTGCCTTTTTCGCATTATTTTCACTCGGATCATTATATAATTTTTTGTCACGAGTACCGAAACGTTCAGCAATTATTGATCCAATTAATTATTCCTCAGGTTTTAAAAGTGAGTTATATCGAGAGACAAAGTGTCCATCAATTTATTCCTAGTGTGGTTAGAGTGCGATTACTCGAACCGGGGCACTAGCTTGAAGGGAGGTTAATTACCCAATGACAACTGTTTTTGAAAACAAAAGATCCTCAAGTCTTTTTGCAAGCGGACCATAAAATTCAAGGGTCAATTATGCAACCGTTGAAAGGTTTCAACCTGTTTGACCTTACCTGACCTCTCAGGAAGCAGTCCTCAAATTCATGAAAGTTATTGGTCGGTTTGCAAGAAAATCCGAGAATCTTTTGTTTTCAAAAACTGTAAATTTTGATTGGCTAATCTTCTTCCAAGCGTCCCGGTTCAAGTAGTCGAACAGTAAACATCAGCGAAAAAAATTAAAGTTGCAATAGACAAACTGATACAAACAAAACATACTGAACATCTATAAGTTTATTTATTGACTCCTCATACTATAATTGTCAGTATCAATTAGCTTTTTCCTCTTCTTGACAATTATCAGTTACGTTTTAAATTTCATTTTGAGAAACCGCTTCCAGATTCCTCTCCGAGACGAGTGAACTCGCCAGATATTTTTGGCGCGCGTTCATTAACCTTTGCTTTGTACCCTAGGAATCGAAACTTCAAACGTTTGGCCTTAAGCTTTTTGTTCCAGAACCTGTTCTTGAGGATATACACCATCTTGTCGTCTGAAGAGGCATCTACATTAGCATTCCAAGCTAGCAATTCTTTAATTGGCTTCGAGAACTTCAAGGTGATTTGCCAACCATCTTCGACTTCGTCCTCGAGATCAATCGATATCTGTCCGTAGAATCCTTGGGGCCACTGATTAAAGATCTTCACCTTGACTTCTTCGGAGAATGCTCGCTGGGAGTAAAGAAGTAGAATGGAGATAGCTAGGACAACGAATGTACACCTCATGCTCTCCTAAAATGGTATCACAACATAACCTCAGATTAACAAATGAAATTAAGACATGATTATTGAAGTGAAATATTAGTATACGCGAAATTTTTTTCAGATTTCTCCTTTTCCGACGACTTCAGTAGATGAGTCTTGGAGTCAAACCATTGTTACTAGGTTGTTAGTTTTTGGTTCAGCGGAGGTCGTGATTTTTTTGTTTTTGTTTATTTTTATTTTTTTTTCTATCGTCACTTACATACGGTTTTTACTATAAGTAACATAGTTTTAGCCTGGGTGAAGGATGAATTGAGGAAAAAGAAACTTTTTGTCAATTATATGTGACATCATATTAATAGGCATTAGATGCTACGTTATCTCGACCGATTGGGCAAACAACTTAACGAACTCTCTATTGTATGATTTTAAAACACACTTTACAAACTTTCACACGTCCCCAAAAACGAACAAATTAAGATCACTCAAAAATGGCATAAGACGAGTTTTATTTCGATTGATAACATTTCGTATTTTGCGGTCATTCGTAAAAAAACAAAAACTTGTGACGATGCTTACTATAAAAGCTTAATCTAACTTTTAACATATTAAAACGTACTGACTGGTGAAAAATTTTGAGTTTGGTGTCTTTGCATAAAAAAGGTAGCTGCCTCAGTTGTTACCTCTTAACGTTTTGTATAAGGAAATGAAGAAAGGAAGAGCCAGTAAAAGCTCAGAGAACCTTATACCGAAGCAAGATTGCGTTTAGCTGGCAAACAATCTAGTGGGTTTAATGAATACATCGTACACTGGCCGGCCGAAATGGCTTGATACGTTTAGGTGTTTCAATGTGGGTGGCAACTTAGGAAAATACCGCATGGAAAACTCACCTCTTGTTAATTCGGATCTTTTAAAGAGATTTTATGCTGTTGTCTAGCTGCCGATCGCTGATATTCAGACGTGGAGAAAGCCAACAAGAGATGTCTTATACATGATCGTAATTTAACATTGTTGGTTTTAAAAACATATTACGCTGCTTAAACAAAGCTTTCTGATTCTTATGTGCGATGTAAGCGAACTGGCCAAACACACCGTTCAAGGTAGACACAAGAGAAATGCAAAAGCTCAAATTGTTTTCTTGTGTCCTTTACAAAGGCGCCTCAGCTGATAAAATATTATTGTCTTTTTTCAAGTTCAACAATTCACAGTATATTGAAAACTTTGATACAAAAAAAGGTTTTCCGGGAGGTTTTCAACCCTATAATATCTAGTAACGACCAGTATCAGGAGGTGCATATGCCGGCAAAGCATTATTTCAAGTTGCAAATCAGTTTGTCATTCACATCAACAGAAGTTATGTCTGAATCTATTTGTTGATTTGCTGAATAGTTAAAGACTGTTTTTAGACAATGTAAACTGAGTTGCTTTCAGCCGGGTTGGCTCATAGACTGAAAATAGTGACCAAAATAGGAAATTAAAGAGAAACCATTTAACAAGTGACAGGTATTGAAAATGTTATTGTTATGTTTTTATGAAATTTAACGTAAGCTGACTGCTCGCCTATTGACAGAGTTTATTCAGCAACTGCGAAAGTCTTTCACTCCGAATAAATTGTATTCTTCCAAAGTTCAGTTGTATCATTTTTGTTAATACAATTTTTTTGTATAGTTTTTATCGGTATTTAGTTAACGAGTATCTAGCCTGAATTTCATCCGATTACTTCGAGTCGTTATTACTCCCTCAGGAGAAAACGAATCGGATGAATTTCAGGCTAACGAGTATCAGGCCCGAAATTCACAAATCCGATTCTGTCAAATCAGGACAGATTTTTCTGTTCGTTCATAATTAAACCAAAGTACCTGAAATTCGGTTAATCGCCCCACCATAAGGGAATCCGGATTCCAAGATTGGGGAGATTTCTGCTTATGCAATCCGGCATCCGGGAAAATGTTGCTTATGGAATCCGGAATCCAGGGTATTGGAATCCGAAATACAGCTTGACGATTCCGGATTCCCTCTAATGACTGGAATCCGGAATCCAAGTTCCACTGACAAAGACTGGAATCCAGCACCGGGATTGCAGAATCCACGACGTGGAATCCAGAATCCAAGACTGTCTTGATTCCGTTACATGGAGTGAGGTCAAAGAAGCATTTGCGAAACTAAAAAGGTATAGTATGGTAACCCCTGGTCTCTTACTTTGCAGACTGTGCCAGATATCCTTGCTACGTATAGGGTCCGCAATCTAAACTAAGTCTTATTTGGGCCTCAGTTTTAGAAACCATCGGGACCTGTTCACGATAAACAGAAATTAGAAATTAGCGTTGGGTTAACTGAGAATCGTCTTAGAACGCTGTTGTGTTTAGAACTGTCTCAACTCCGTTTTACAGCCCCAAAAGGTACGCTTTATACTAATTACCATTTAGTTTGGGAAACCGGAAGTTTACGGTAGAATACGGTGGAGAAGGTCCTTTATATTTATCAAACTTTTTGAAAAATGGAAGTGACTTCAATCCCTTGTAATTGTTTTTTAACTATTTCGTTTTTTATTCTTTCAACTTTTCTTACTAAGCATAGTACAGTAACCATAAATTCAGCCTTCATTCCACAGACATTCCACTACCACTTTCCTCGCCGATACGCTCGAAAGACACCGTCATGCCCTTCAAACGCTTTCTGTTCTTCTTGGTTACGGTGAAGGGGAATTCTAGCGTTTTCTCCTCTTCTAATTCAGCATTCCAATGCTGATTTTCGAGCACGAACTCTGTTTTATCGTCGTTCACAGACACGATTTTCGCCTGCCACACCTCTATCCTTCTGATTCCAGGTTCGGGAAATGTCACAGTCATTTTCCAACCGTCGGGTCCTACGGGTTTTGACGGCGTTATCTTGAAAGTGCCCCAGAATTGTCTAGCCCATTCATGTCTCTTCTTCCATTCCGCCTCTCCTTCGGATTTGAGACCGGAGACCAGTAACAAGGCTACTAACGTTAACAAGACTGTGCGCATTTTACCTACAGAAAATAATAATAATAATAATAATAATAAATAAAAAATAGACGAAGAACGCATTCTAAATGTCAGTAAATATGCTGGTTTGTATTATACAATTGCTTGACAATGAGAAACGGCTGTCTATCGTTTTGATACAACATAAAATTTCTACAGATTCCACTAAATTTCCTGAGAACATGATTCATAATTTAAATCTAGATCTGATTTATCAATATATTTCTCTTCAATAAGACACATGATTGGCATGGGAGTATAGTCATTAACCTCCGCCAGACACTTTGTCAATCTTAACCTGGGCAAAAGCCGGCTCCTGTCTGAACTCAAATTGAACACGGGGATCTCTCCGACCCGCGCTGTTTGAAAGTTTTAGTAGCGTGTTTGATATAACACTGGTGTTGTTACACGAGATGATTGAATACGTCTAAATGTAACTACGTAGTTTTGCCACAAAAAGGAAGAATGCCATGACGCTGGTTAACTTACCGAAGTCCACACAGTGGTCTTCTTTAAATTGTTCGTCTACGGTTGACTTAAAAGGTAACTCAAAAACGAATCTGAAGCGCATAATAAAAGATTATCCGTCGTTTGCTTAAGTCAGCTGATCAAATAAATATTAAAAAGAAGAATTTTGACGTGTTTATTGACGAACAGTCAACAGAAATGAATAAAAAGGCTCGTTATCGTGTATATTTGCCTACGAACCATCTATTGTGTACAGTAAAACAGTTGCTTAAATAATCATTAAACCTTTGGAAGAAAAATTGAATGGACTTGCTTATCACCCTTTCAATGACCCATAAAACGTTTGAAGTTTGAAGGGCGTTTAATGACGAAATATTTTACTAGAAAGAGTTTTACATCAGAACGTAAGACAATGGTTGAGAGAAGGCTGGGACGGTTCGCTTTTTTCTTACATTCCCTCCCCCATTAACAACCTCATATCGGAGTTTCTCAAGAGCTGTTTGATCGTAGCAAATAAAAAACAGGGATGGTTTTTACTCCAATAAGATATCTTTTCTCTAAAACGCGTAGAGCTGGAATTATTTACCTACTTTCAGTTTCCAGCTTCCGTGAATAGACTTCTCCTTATAATTGGACTCACGTTGCACCATCAATCTGAACACTAACCCGGAGAGTAGTAATATATACGTATGCAAACTTAATAATATATTTTCTGCCTCTCGGTAGACTTTCTCAAAGTCCTTCGCTCCTCATTTCCGGTTTCGGTAGTTGGTACCAGGGCGAGCTCGCTTTTGCTTGCTTCGCGCTCGAGAAAAATTTTGAGCTCGACTCTACCTCTCGGTTAACAGAAGAATCACTGAAAAATGGCGATAAAACGATCATCCCCACGGTATGCAACGTATTGGATAAGATCGTTGACCAATAAATATCGTTGAACGACGTCTGAACAGCCAAAGATGGAATACTTATAATTGGTTTAAACGCCATTATTATTATTCTTTTTTTTTAAATAGATACATTCAGTCTTATGGCCTGGCCTTACATACCGAACCCATCAAAACGCAGCATTCAATGGCCGAATTCATGATAGAGCGGTTTTCACTAGACTGTCGAAAGTAATTGAGGTATTGGTTTGGTTTAGGTTTTACTACGCCCTTTGGTTGGCTAGTGTATTTACTTTGGTTTTGGTTTTACGACAGTCAAGTGAAAACCGCTCTAAAGACGAGTTATCCGTCTAGATGGATTTATCCGTCAGACGGATAATTCGTCTAAGTGTAAATCCGAAGACAAATTTTGATGAATAATTTGTCTAGATATTTCATATTTATTTATTCCAGGAAACATTGCGAAAATATAGAAACCAGCCCCTCTCAAGTGGAAACTTCGTAAAAAAACCGTCTACGTTCCGTCTAGATATAAATTTAGAGACGGATAATCCTTCTAAGACGAAGTATCCGTTTGGTAGCACGTCTTCAAGACGTGCTAACGGACGAATCAGCTTCAGGCGAATTTTGCTTAAAGCGTAAAGTGCTGATCGGAACTGGTGCTGGGCTAATACAAAGACGATTTCCTTTAAATAGCAACAAAAAAAAAGAAAAAATAGCCAAAAACGTGTCTTAAATCAATGACCAAATCGCCCAAAGTTTGTTATAACTCGCGCTTGCCAACTTGGTTCCCAACCGCTGTTCCTAACTCGGTTGTTAGTTTAACTCCTCATACAGTCATAGTTTCACTTACGCGGTCCAACTCTTATGCAATGCTAATGAGATTGATATTTCACAGGCGTTTCTGTGTAGGTACTGTTCCGTATAATAGATTCTCACGGATGTTTGCGAGAAAATATAATAATGATTCAAATTTATTCACCCATGCGCAAATACGGCAAACTTTATTTTTGAAAATTTTTAACGACATCGTTGTCAGGTGCTACTCTTCCACTGAAAGATTGCCGATCGCTTGCGTTTCATGAAAACCAAGGAAATTCAAGCTGCCAGGATGACATTATGAACAATTTTGAAGATCTGAACCCTTCTGTGAAGTCTCACGAACTTACTGAAAATGTATCAAGCATCGACTCTGATCGCAAAGAGAGCTCGGAACCTCAGGTCTATCCTTTCTTCTTGACTAACCGACGTGGCGATATTATTAACGGATGACGACTGGTTGATGACTGGTAAGTCAGTTGGTAAGTAGAATCAACTAATTTTATATTTTTTCACAACTCAAATGTTTTCAAAGTTAAGTTTGTGATTCGAGCTGGAACATAGCTTGATCTATCTATAGCTTGTCCAAGTAGCCCGCCAACAAAAATATTCTCTTGTTGTCAGGTTTATTTTCATTCTTTGATTGATTATTTTCATTATTTTTTCTTTGTTCAGAGTTTACTTTTTTCAAAAGTGCAGTTTCCCCTGCCGAGGCCGCGCTCTCTGAAGGAAAAGAGCAAACATTGAAACATGACAGTTTGAAAATGTGAGAAATTAATATTTACATACTGCTTTTGTCGTTGTCCTGTCGTGAAAAAAACTGAAAATTTAACTCAATCATGTTTCCTTAACACAAGCTTTTTTATTTTCTTGTCATCAGTTACATGTTGAGATCACTGACATCGAACCGTGGACAGTTGGGGCCCCCGGAATAGTCGAGAGAGAGGAGAGGTAAGTAGGTTAAAACTAACTCAGAGATTCGTTAAATCAAATCCTGATTCCTAATCAAATAATGAAACCGAAAAGAAAAACCAGTGATAATGATCGATATTGGTAAAGTTGAGGATGTACTAACAGGACTTACTAAAAAGTTTTAAAAACTGAATCATTGGATAATGAATTTTAATTGGCTTAGCTCTCATATATGAGCCATTCAGTACCACGCTCTCCAAATATGTAACTGTACCCGTCTGCACAAAATTTAAAAACAAGCTGAAAATCGGTTGTTTTCATGACAAATGAAGTCGGAGAGCCAATTCTCTATGAGCAGATGATGATTATAGCCGACGCGCCTCGTTGCCTATCTACCACGGCTCAAATCCAACAAATACAGCAGGCATTATGAACATTGAAGGAGAAAAAAAATAAATGTACTCGACTTGTCAGGGGCACCCAACGGCAATTTTTGGAAAATATCTGTTCGGAAGACGATTTGAGATCTAGAATTTTCGGAACATTTGTTGTAAAATTGCTTGCTTGCCTGCCTCTCCTAAGATTTTCGAACATCTACAAAATGGTATAATTACCCATTTTTAACGGATTTTGACCCTAAAAAAGGCCACTTAGAATTTTCGGGAGCCTTTTCCTGGCTGAAATTTTCGAGAAGGTAAGTTTTTATCAATATAATTTTCGGATCGCTAGACTTTCAGCTAGCAAATTCGAACAGATGAAAAGTTTTTAGGGGATAAAAATATGCCTATATCTACCGTTTAAATACTAAAACACGTTCAACAACGCTATGTTAAGTGGTTTTGAACTATATCCTCGTTGGGTGTCCCTGACTTGTGAATCAACGGAGTAGTAGTTTTGAGTATAAGCTAAGTGACTGATTTCCTCCGCTAAACTATGTGGATTTTTTAGCATTGTAAATCACTTGTAATGACACCAGTATTCAGAATACAGAATACATTTATTTCTTGTTATCTCTCTCCGTTTACAGATTAGAAAGGAGAAGGAATTCAGCCGCCTAAATACATGCAACGCCGAAAAAACACTGATGAAGGTACGCATGACCAATTTTGTTCTGTAAATAAGCTTCAAAAAACGGAATTTTTGGAAACTCCAGACAACGTCCGAAATAATATTTTTAATCATTAAGTTTCCAAAACAAAAAAAAAGATGATATATGAAGAAAAAACAATTAATAATGGTAGCTATACTAGCAATTTCATCAAAATTAGATTACACTGTGACCACTGTAACCGGGGACACCTGGACAAAGTTGACCAATCGGATTACGAGAAAATAACAATACAATCATAGAAAGTTAGTTGTCAATCCACGAAACGAAATAATCAGCTATGATTTAGTTGCTTCTCTTGCCGTTGAGCTTTGGTTTATGACGTGATACGCGTGATGAGTACTCAATTCTGCTGGCAACGTAGCGTGCGAGCATTGTGAGAACATCATCATAATTCTATAGTCCATGAGAACATCGTTTTGATTTCACTAAGAGAATGTACAGGAAGTAGCTTCCCCCTCCTCTGACGTAGGCGAAAAACATATTATTGCAAAGCGCGGCAATAGTAGCGAGGAAATTGCCGCTGGATGACAAAATAACAGCTTGTGTCAAAGAAATCTGTCTCCTGGGTGTTGGGTATATACAAAGTTTCAAATGTGTTGTTATTGTCCTGTAGTCTGACTGGTGAACTTTGTCTACAAAGCGGCCCCACTTACACCTCAAGAAAGAATGATATCCATGGTTACAGTAGTCGCGCCCTAGGCGGGGTATTCCCTTCGTTGGTAGCATGTCACATCATTTCGCGCCATTACAAGTCACGTGCTAGGAACAATATGGCTGTCGGAAACCAGCGTCAGTGGCAGACACTT